AATCATACATGCAATCCAAAAAAAAATAAAAAATTCCAAGTAATAAAACAACTAGCCTCTTAACATTCAACTTCAAGCTTATCATGTTAAGGCTCATTACATGCATCATTTTAACACAACAAATAAGAAATATGATAAGCTAGTAATTCAATTTAAGTAATAATAAAATAATATTCTTGTAAAACAATATATATATATATATATATATATATATATATATATATATATATATATATATATATATATATATATATATATATATATATATATATATATATATATAGTAGCTATCATATAATTCACATCATCACTTCAAGTTCCCATACACATAACACACTTATATAGGCGCATAACTTTACTAACACATATACTTGATGACTTCTAGAAGATTAGACATTGAATTCAAACTTAGATATTTACATGTATTATACTACTATAAGACTATTATACTACTATAAGACTAGACATTGAATTCAAACCTACTGATCTGCTAGTATCACACTATGACTTCCCCAAATACCTAATACAAAAGTAGTTAAAATATTCTAGGTACTCTCATATTCTCATATGATAAGGTAAATTCCAAAAACTCACGCATTATTGCTAATACACGCTCCAAATCAAGAAAAAAGAATTCCCTTCAACTGTTGTTACCTAATTTGTTCAATTATGTGATTTTAGTTATAAGTAGAATTAAAATATTTCTTAGTAAATCCCTAATTCAACTGCTAGCAAAATGTCGTTTCAGCAAAAATTATCTAAAAGTTTCATTTTATAATTATTATGACACTTGAATGAAAGATTTGATGATTGAATAATTTTTTCTTCCGTTGAGCAAAAACTACCAGACCTGAGCCTTGATTAGCCTTAACTTTCAATCTCATTTTTTCCTGGAAAAAAACTATTAAACTTGAGTCTTAAATCTCTGGTTCATTTTCGCATGAACTACCAATAATTGTTTGAGCAAATTATGTCAAATTAGAGTTAGTAGAAGATCTAAATGATTTGTGACGCATTTTATACAAAGATTCTTACCCAATATATGTTATAATAAACTAATCAATATGTTTTAGTTTAACCGTGTGTACATACAACAATCATTTCACTTAATCACATTTTTAATAGTTTATTCCCATTATTGGTTAGGGTGGTAAAACAATCCCAATTTCTAAACATATAATTTAAATACAAAGCCTGCAAATCAATCATTATGTCCAAATCACATCCACACATCCAAATTATCTATTCTAAGCAAAATCCCGAGAGGTTCCCAGTTTTTCAATAATTCATATCCTGATAAAAGAAAATCCTAATCAACAAATTAAATATGACATTATGATCTTAGATTAAATCTCAAATAATCTAGAAAATGACATAAAGAGCTTATTTTATAGCGACATTTGTTCATATAAAAGTGTTATACTATACTGAAGAATACTAAAATGTGTTTAAATCTAGAAAAAAAGAGAGATAAATAAGAAAATCTAGAAAAAAAGAAAGAGAATATTAATATCTAAAAGAGATAATGAATTCAAGTAAATAAAATTTGAAAAGTTAAATTTTTTTTTATTTATACAAATTTTCAACTTATAAAAATATTTATTTTTCATTTAAATTTAATCACATCTACTACTAGATTAAATTAATTATATAAAAAATTAATATTATTTTATTTTTTTTAATATTTTTGTGGTAAAATATATAAACTCATCTTATAAATATTTTTAAATACTTTCCTTATAGACAATAATAGAAAAATATAAAATATAAAATTTATACAAATAAAACAATTATTTAATTAAAATAATGGAAATTGTATGATATGTATGAAAAATAGTATAAAGTATAGTAAATTATTTAATTTTCTAAATTTTGATATATTAATAATGAAACAAAACTAACATTTAAATTATTTGTGTAAATATACCTTAATTTATCGTTAGAATATTAAAATTCACCCTTTATTTTGATTTTTTTAGTGAGATTCAAATGGCTTGAGTATTTGAATAAAAATTACAAGATTCAAACTAAACATAACTAAATAATGTATAATCATATAAAATTATAATTTAATAGGCATATCAAAAGCATTAAACAGTTTTTTACTTTTAATTAATAAAAAATTATTATTATAATTGTTTTTAGATAATTATTATAATGATCAACAAATTTATTGTATGGTTCTTAATTATTATTTTTTTAATGAAGTGCTTTGTCTTGTTTGTGTTGAGAAAATCTCAATTTAAAATATTCAATCATGTTAGTACATAATTAAATGCAATTAAACACGTCATTACATATCATCAATACTAGTTAGTAATGAGTTAATATAACATTTATTAATAAAAAACGTTAATTTAAACCCAAATAACGTGATTACAAATGGCAACTAAACATAAAAAAAACTTCCAATAATTGAGAATCTAATTCCATATTAGAAAGTGTGAGATTTTTTTCTTAAAAAAAAAAACATGGGGAAAAACATGAAGAAACAACAGGGTTAAAAAGGAAAAGATTCTTATCCACTATCTTGCAAGTATGTTAGGTAAAATTATCACCTAACTTTGTAAAGAACATAGTTTTACATAATATCATCTAAAGAAATTTGTCACTAACTTAAGTATAAATGGTTACATATAATAAATTCAATAATTTTAATAATAATAATAATAATAATAATAATTACTTAAAGAATACTTCTTCATTCTACAATTTTTTAATCAATATATATTATTAGTGTGAATTCATAATATCATATTCTTTTTGTTTTAAATTATAAAATATTCCTTTAATTTTTATATAAGACTTTTTTTTGTTTTCAGCATAAATTATTTTCTTTCTAAAATATATTTAATTATCACAAATGTTATGAATTATTTTTTTCATAAAGATCATAAAATTTAAAAACATAGTTTGAGAATCTAAACATTATTATTATTATTATTATTATTATTATTATTATTATTATTATTATTATTATTATTATTATTATTATTATTATTATTATTATTATCTCTTCATGCAATATTAAAAATATAAAAAGTAGAAACACATTTAGGGCTAATAATTAAATTAATTAATATTTTTAATAAGTAAGAATTAGTTATGTGGAGATAAATGATAAAAGTTATGTTTAATTTTTTTAATGATAAATTAATTTTTTGTTAAACATTTATTATAACAATAAGAAGGTGAAGACAAAGTCAACTCCTTAGTAAAATTGAACTCAACATGTCTTTAGAAAAAACATGGAGGAAGTTAATATATATTTTTTATAATGTATTTAAACATTCTCAACTATTATTATATTTAATAATGATGAACGAGTTTAAATATATAAAAGTAAGATGACAAAATAAAACATATTTAAATACTTAGTAATAATTTTAATAAAATAAAAAAATATATACCTATAGACTCTTGTATATATATTTTCCTTAAAAATAATTTTTAGCTATAAGAAATATTTATTATTATTTTTTTAACTAAATAATTACAATAATAAATAGTGAAATTGAACTCATATTTCTTATTTTCTAAACAAAGTAGAATTTCATTTGATTAGAAGCAAAAGGTGAGCATTTAAGTAGTTGGCCACGCTGAAATTGAGGATCTAAAAAACGTGGCGTGCAATGCATATTATCAAAGCAAATGAACACAAAAGTCATCAATTGGCAAAATTCTGCTCTCAGTTTCTTGCCTGAAAGAAAATGAGATATAGATTGAAGAAGAAAGAAAAAAGATAGAAGAAGAATCGAATCCCTTAGCCACTATAAAAAGTGAGAGTGACCTTAATTTTAAAAACCCCCTTTAATTGTTTACATAATAATATACTTTGCCCCTTATATACGTTGGTTCATTGAATCCTAAGGATCATAGGAACATAATTACCCCAACCAGATAGAAATATTTGGCTCCAAGATCTAAAATATATACCCTTCAGGTAGTGTGGAATTAAATTTTTTTAATTAGAAACCCTGAATATAATATATATTAAAATTATTTATCAGATATATATTATATAAAATTATAAATCATGCATATTAACATAATATATATATATATATATATATATATTAGAGATTAAATATTTTTTAAGTGTATTAGACTATATTTTATATTATAAAAAAATGTTAATTATAATATAATTTATATTGTAAGTTGTTTAATAATATTTTTAATATTATTTATTAAATTTAATAAGTTAAAATTTATTTTATCATATATTTTTTTCTTAAAAAATAATATATAATTTATTTCATAAATATTTTTAAAATGTAATTTTTTTTTATATTTTAATGAAATCGTAAAATATGAAAATAATTAACTAATTGATAGTAAATTATATATATATATATATATATATATATATATATAATATGTTATAATAGTTAAAAAAACAATAAAAATATTTATTTCAAGATAAAGAGAAAAATTAAAGAGAAAAATCCATAATTATATTATAAAATAAAAATGAAATATATATATATATATATATATATATATAAGTGATAAAAGAAATAAAAATATGAAATTGAAGAATAAAAGGTGAGATGGTGGAAGAAAAAAATGAAAATAAAAAGAGAAAAAATATATATAAATAAAAAATTATATAAAAAATAATAATAATAATTATTATTATTATTTATAACAAATAATACATTTTTATATTTAAAAAATAATATAATTTTGGGTGGGGTGAGGGTAGGGTGTCCACCCCAACCTGGTTCCGCCTCTGCCTTTAGCTTAAACTTTTACGTATCACTCAACAACTTAACAACTTATAGTGGGTTTTACTCCACCTAATATTCCTTTGTAGATTACCTTATATAATCTATAATATACACTTTATGGTCCATCTTCCACATCTCTTCTCCCTCCTATATTCTATTCATCACAAAAATTAACACTTTGTTATCATTCCATTGTTTCATCTCATGCATGGGCCTCTTCCACTACTTCCTCATCCCAGTCACTTTCATTAATCAATCACATTGCAAATGGGTTGTTTCTTCATACACATTGCTCTCATCTTGGTTCTCCTTTTCAAAGGTAATTCATTCTTCATTTCATCAAATTTTCTTGCACAACTCAACTTTCATGGCTTTTATCATTGGAAAATAGGTGCTTCATGTGCCACATTTACTCTAGTCAACAAATGTGATTACACGGTGTGGCCCGGGATTTTGGCCAATGCAGGGAGCTCCGGATTGGACTCAACCGGGTTTGAGCTCCGCCCCGGTGGTTCCCGGAGTTTTCAGACACCGCCCAACTGGTCGGGAAGATTCTGGGGCCGAACCGGATGCAACTTTGACCCGAATACCCAACAAGGTAGTTGCACAACAGGAGACTGTGGCTCTAATCAGGTCCAATGCAACGGTGGCGGGGCAAGCCCACCCGCCACGTTGGCGGAGTTCACAATCGGGTCGGGGTCCGGAACCCAGGATTTTTATGATGTGAGCCTCGTTGACGGTTACAACTTGCCGTTAATTGTGGACCCCAGTGGCGGATCGGGTACGTGCGGGTCCACCGGGTGCGTTGCGGACCTGAACCAACGGTGCCCCAACGAGTTACGCGTGGCGGATCGCCCCGCGTGTAGGAGCGCGTGCGAGGCGTTTCGGAGCCCCGAGTATTGCTGCAGCGGCGCGTACGCTTCACCCGCGACATGCAAGCCTTCTATTTACTCGCAGGTATTCAAATCCGCGTGTCCAAAATCGTATAGCTACGCGTACGACGACGCTACGAGTACGTTTACGTGTACGGGAGCTGATTATACCATTACGTTCTGCCCTTCAACCACAAGGTAACCAGATTCTGCATCTAACCATTAATTTATTTATTTGGTTTCTTTTCAGTGCCATTGCTTTCATCATACTTTATTTTAATTTTTCTTTGAGATTACGATATCAATGGTCGATGAATACTTTCGGTTGTTCATGTTAAATAATAATAATAATAATAATAATATTATGCAACCGTTTTAATAACATTGGAGTGATATGGTGGTTACTATCTTTCCTACTTTCTAGTTTTATAGTGACCTTTTAGTGTGGCACAAGTTAATGTCCAAATTATATTTCCTTGAGTAACACAAAAAGAAAAGAGAGAATATTCTGATAAATTTCTTAACTCTCTCACCTTTATCACCATCATTCATTATCTATATTTTCGAAATCTTTAAAGATATTTGTAGTATAAGAATAAAATCTATAATTCGAAAACTTTTAAGACTTATCGGTATAGCATAGATGAGAAATAACAAAAGTGTTTTGGGTTTTCTTGCAGCCAAAAATCGGCAAGAGATTCACCACCTCCTCCGTCTGGAAGTGAGTCTGAAGCAGGAACAGGGGAGATGCCATTGATAGTTAATAATAATAATCCATGGTTTCCCAACTTTTTCACTGGACTCTCATCCAACCCTCATTCATGTCCCTTGCCATTGATTCTTACACTCACTCTGATAATCTTCTTCTCTATGCAACACTGATAGTGCAATATGAAAAATCTTAGCTAGATCTTATGGCACAAACAAAGCCTCACCATGAATTCTCTTTCGTAGTCATTTTAACTGGAAAGCAATAGCAATCAGAATCATGTGCACCCACCACCAAAAGGGGGTTTTTCATACATGGACTGCCATTATTCAATTAGAAAGTGATGTAGCAGAATATGAAAAGTAGTGTTTTCTATATGCTTTGCTTCACTTAGAATTTGAGTAACATGGTTGGTACTCTGCTAACCAGTCTAAGGCAACTTTTAGGGTATATCAAGCTTGGTACCATGTCATTTGGGTTGGCAAAACAATGGCATATGCAATATATTTTCTAGCAATACATTATGCCACTTATTGCTGAGCTAATGGTGATGCTAAACACACTCGGTTTTGGTTATGTTCAAAAGCAAGAAGCTAGTTTGATTAAACAATTCCATGATGCTGTGTTGCCTCTGGTTTTTTCATGCAGTGGAGATCTTTAAAATTTGGTTTTGTGACGATATCAGGGTCGAAATTTTGATCATTGATATCAAAAGAATGAAGTAATATATTATTAATAAATTATAAAAAAATTAAATTTATAATATAAAAAATATTTAATTATTTAAAAGGTCAAATTCATAAATATTAATATATATTATAAAATTTTAGAGGATTAGGCTCTCTCATCTTCCAATAAACTCCCTTACTAACTAGATAATTATAATATTCGTGAAGATGATTTTAAAATAGTTATAAAACTTTACCTGAACTTGATAAAACAAGCACATCATCAATTGTTATTCTTAAAATTTTGTAAAATTACACAAACTCTTTTGAAGGTTTGTGGTTACACAGATTCTTTTGAAGTTATGTGACTTATAAAATCTTAATATAATCAATCTTTTTTCATTTATTAGTCCGTTGTTAATTAGTAAAAAATTGTTATAATTATGTCTTGAATTGTTATAAAATCACTTAACTTATGTTAATTCTAATATATTTTTCTTCCAATATAAAATGAATTCGAGAATACTTTGATACAAGAGTAAGGAGCATAATTGTCAACATAATTAGAGTAAAATTGAAAGAAAGAAAAGCGCTTAAGCGAATGAATAATGCGAGAGCCGACTCAAATTCTCTTATAAAAAGATAAGTTGTGTTTTGAGAAAAGCAAACAGTCTTAGAGAAGAGGAGGCACGACTACTGTTAGGGTTTCGTCTAATCTTCATCAATTCTTCACTTCTTCATCAATTGAAGCATTGTAATGGCCAACATAGTGACTAACTTCATTCTCTTAGGATTCGGTGCACTTCCTTTGAACTCTTTTGTATCATGGTGATATTTTGAGATATTAATCTATGTTTTGATGTTGTTATTCTTATCCTTTATGCTTTGGAATGATTTATTCTTGATGTTTGGGGTATGATTGGAAAATATATCTTGAACCCTAGATCACGGTAAGAATATTTGTTACGTTAATTGCCAGGAATGGAATGAATGTGTCAATTGCTTAACACCCTAACCCTAATGCTGGAAAATCTCTTAATTGTGTGAGGAATCAACATTTATTAGGTTTTCTTATGAATTTCATGTGTGAGGAATCAACATGGATGGTTTGAGTAGGTGACATCAACATTGTTAGGTTAATTGACGTTCTTAATTGACATAGCCATTACAAAAGAGGGATAAGGAAGGAAGCCAATCCTAAGTACCTTTAATTGATATTTTCTCAACAATTTACAATTCTTTGTCATTTAATTTCAATTCAACTCTTATTACAAAAACCAATCTGTTTTAATATACTTAGTAAGCATAATTGGAAATTTTCATTGAAACTGTTCCTCGTGAGATCGACTTTTATTTAATCGAAATACTATACTGCGATTGATAATTTTGGTACGCTTGCCAATAATTCAACAAGTATTTCTGGTGCCGTTGCCGGGGAACGGTGTTCTTTGAGAATTCTTTATTTAGCTTATTGAGTATTTTATTTTTATTTCTGTTTTTATTATTATTATTATTATTATTATCATTATCATTATTATCATTATTATTATCATTATTATTATTATTATCATTATTATCATTATTATCATTATTATTATCATTATTATTATTATTATTATTATTATCATTATTATTATCATTATTATTATTATTATTATTATTATTATTATTATTATTATTATCATTATCATTATTATTATTATTATTATTATTATTATTATTATTATTATCATTATTATTAGTATCACTATTATTATCATTATCATTATTATTATTATTATTATTATTATTATTATTATTATTATCATTATCGTTATCATTATTATTATTATCATTATTATTATTATTTTCATTATTATTATTATTATTATTATTATTATTATTTAGTTTTTAGTTTGTGCTAATATTTGCTTGAGTTACTCTTTTGATTTATGCGTTTAAGAGGACAAATATCTTCAAAAGAAGGGAAACTCAAGAACAAACTACAAGAAAATCTGCTAATTCTTCTTTCACACTTTTACCGGACCCAATTATAGAAGATATGACGAAGAAGGAACAAATCGAATTCGAATCCAGATCCAAATATAAATCCAAATCAAAACCCAAATGCAAATCCACCTAGGAGAACTCTTAGAAATTGTGCTATGCAACAAGGTCCAAGACATTTTTCCAGCATTGTCATTCTGGATGATCATATATTGCAGATGAATCTAGCTTTCTTAAGCTTGATTAATGTTCATCAATTCACTGGATTGGATCATGAAGACCCTTATATTCATTTGTCTACTTTTTATGAGTTGATTGGTACCATGGGATTTAGAACAACAAATCTTGAATTTGCATATTTGATATTATTTCTTTTTTCTTTGGCAGGTAGGGCAAAGGAGTGGCTGAAAGCACATCCTAATAAGAGTTTGACTAATTGGAGTAGTGTAGAAGAGAAGTTTCTGAATAGATTTTTCCCACCATCCCGCTACATCAAAGCAAAATCTGACATCACTTCTTTCAGACAAGGAGCACATGAACAATTTTGTGAAGCATGGGAGAAATTTAAATCACTGTTGAGAAGTTGCCCAAATCATGGATTTGATGACGTTTCTCAGTTGAATATTTTCTATACTGGCTTGCGACATGATGCAAAGATGCTATTAGAGGTTGCAGCAGGAGGATCCATGTTGGATGTAGAAATTGATCATGCCACAAGAATTATTGGTGCACTAGCTTTTACAAACCAACAGGCCCAACATGATAGACATCCAATTCAAAGGAAGGGAGTCCTTGAACTTAACACCACAGATGCTCTCTTAGCCCAGAATAAAATTTTGACCCAACAAATTGAAGCATTGAACCAGAAAATAGAGAAATTACCTCAACAAATGCACACAGTACAAACCATTCCTAATCAACAGATGAGTTGTGATTTGTGTGGAGGTGATTATTCAAATGAATAATGCTCTTATCAAGGCAGACAAGGTAATTTTCCTAATCCCAATACTTATCAGAATAATTTTGCACAAGGATGGAGAGGGAATCAAAATCAGAATCAGAATTTTGGGTGGAACCAAGGTGTTAGCTCATCTACTAAACAACATGCATTTCAACAACAGTCATATCAGCAACTCCCATATCAACAACAGCAATAACATTATCCTTCAATGCCTGACAGAATAAGTAAATTGGAGGATACTTTAGAAAAATTCATGCAAGGCACTATGGTTAATCAGAAAAATACTGAGGCAACTTTAGAAAAATTCATGCAAGGCACTATGGCTAATCAGAAAAATATTGAGGCTTCATTCAGAAATATAGAGACCCAGATAGGCCAATTGGCTAAGTAATTATCTGGGCAGCAACAAGGAGGACAATTTTCAGCTAACACACAAACCAACCCCAGGGAGCAATGCAATTCAATAACTATAAGGAGTGGAAAAGTTGTAGGTAAGGGGATTGGTGACAATATAGTTGTTGAAGAAGAAGTTTTGGTAAAAGAAGATGAAGAGCAAGAAGAGGAGAATAATAAAGAAAGAGATATTCCTAATAAGAAGAACGAAGAGAAGATAGAAAAAGGAGGGAGTCAAAAACCATTTGTAGAGAAGTTACCGTATCCCAATGCTCCTTCACAGATAGATAAAGAAAGACAGTTTGCAAGATTCATGGATATTTTCAAGCAATTGCAAATTAATATATCATTTATGGAAGCTATGGAGCAAATGCCAACATACGCCAAATTCATGAAAGAGCTCTTAACTAAGAAAAGAAGATTTACTGATGAAACAATAGAGTTAGAGGCAGGATGCAGAGCTATATTCCAAAAATCATTGCCTCAAAAGTCCAAGGACCCTGGAAGTTTCACTATACCAGTCACAATTGGTGAATTACCGGTGAAAAAATCATTACTTGATTTAGGGGCCAGTATAAACCTCATGTCATTATCTATGCTCAAAAGAATAGGAGACTTGGAAGTAAAACCTACAAGAATGACATTGCAGCTAGCTGACAGATCTCTAAAGATTCCTTATGGAGTAGTAGAAGATGTTTTAGTTAGAGTGGACAAATTCATATTTCTTGTTGATTTTGTGATTATGGACATGGAGGAAAATGAGGAAGTCTCATTGATCCTGGGAAGACCATTTATGAAGACTGCCAAAGTAATTATAGATGTTGACATGGGCAAGTTGAAAATTAGAAGTGGAGATGATGAAGTTAATTTTAATCTGTTTGAAGTTGTACAACAACCGAAAAACAAGAAAGATTGTCTCAAAATAGATACTTTAGATGAATTACCCATCTCAACTGAAAAAAAAGATTACAAGCCTATTGTACAACCCCAAAGACATCTTAGTCTGACTATGAAGGAAGTTATTCAAAGAGAGGTATTGAAACCTCCTGAAGCAGGTATGATTTATCCAATCTCTGACAGTTGTAAGGTTATTCGCAATGAGAAGAATAAATTCATTCCCACAAGGACAGTTAAGGGATGGAGAATGCGTATATATCACCTTGAT